GACTCCCCCCACACCTGCGGGTGGCACTATTTATAACTCCGCGCCTATTCCGGGCCTCGAGGTTGGAGCCGGCTGCTGCGCAGCGCTAATCGCCGCCGGGATCTCTGCGCCCCCCAGGGCCGGGGGAGGTAAATTTAGCTGCAGGAAGCTCTGGGGAACATTTCCCAAAACTCCACGTCCCAGAGCAGGCGAAGCCGAACCCCCTACCCTCAGCCTCTCTGCAACCAGCCACCAGGAGGCGCAGGGCTCTTGGCTCCTCGAACCCAACAGCTAGGAGGGAGTTGGGGTCGCTGCTAGGAAGCTGGGGTAGGTCAAGGGCTGGGGGTGAATGGCCGAGAGGTACTGAGGGGCCAGAGAGTGTCTGAGCAATGGGTACGGTCCGAGGCTGGCGAAGGCTCGGGATTCCGAGAGTCGCTGAGGAAACGGGGTGGGGAATTCTCTGTTGAGGAGGAAATAACTCAGGCAAGCGAGAGGCAAATAGGACGCAAATAAGAGCCCACGCCTCCGGCCCGTCGGGACAATTCCACGCGCTCTTTCCGCCGGCCTCCTGGTGATGCCGGGGAAATGTAGGATCCTCTCAAGAGCACGACAGCATAGATATCTGGTTTATTCATGCCGCTCCTCAGACCCTTTCGCTGTGACCCTCCTAATTCACCTGCCTCCTGGGGCCGTTGAAGTCCTAGGCGTACTCCTCCGGGAATTCTGGGTATCAGGTCTTTTTTTTTTTTTTGAGTCGGGATCTCATTCTGTCTCCCAGGCTCTACGTCCTGGACTCAGATGATCCTTCTGCCTCAACCTCCTGAGACTACAGGCACGTGGCACCATGCCGGGCTAATGTTTTGGTATTTTTTGTAGCCTGTGTTGCCCAGGCGGGTCGCGAATTCCTGGGCTCAAGCGATCCTCCTGCCTCGGCCTCCCAAAGTGCTACGGTCACAGACGTGAGCCACCGCTCCCGGCCTCTCTCCTTTTGCTCTAGTACTGGGGAGTCACTTCCAGCTCATCGCCTTGTCTTCTCCATTCCTACTTCACCCACCCCCTTCCCGTTGTGACCACTAGAGGGCGCCAGAGCGCCGAGGGGTAGGTGAGGTCTTTTACCGGTCCCTGTCTTGGCACCCTGCTCCCCTTTGCGCCTCCACCCCCCACCCCACGTGAGTTCTTGAGAGAGTATTTGGACGCTGAGATCCTGAGTTGCTTCAGGTGGGGAGAGAACTTTACGGGGAAACTGCCACATTTCTTTTTCCCTCTAGAGGAGTGGAGAGCGAGCCAGGGAAGAGCTGGCCTGTGTGGATCAAGTGAAAAAGGCCCTACCTAGCTGAGACTCCCAGTTGAGCAGAGAAACCAAGGACAAGGGGAGCTTAGGGCTGCAGTGGAAAGTGGCACAGCACAGAGTGGGTGCAGGATGGGGCTGGTGGTACCTCGCTTCACTTTGCTTCCCTGGCCCTGCCTCCCAGGCCACCATCCCCACACAGATACCAGCTCCCAAGAGGGAGGCCGGCTCATTAGGAGAAGCCCTGAGTCTGAGGTCTGAAAATGACTACTCAGCTGCAGGGTGCTGTGAAATGACCTTGGACAGGTCATTTCATTTCTTGGGCCTATTTCCTTCAGTTTACATGGGATGATCACCCTTGTCCTGCCTACTTTTACAGTGGACCTTGTGAGGCTCAAAGCACTGTGTGTGAGAAAAGTGCTCTCAGAATGGTAGATGAATGAGGCTTCGTTATTTTCCTTATCTCTCCCCTCAGTCTTTCCACTGTCAAGGTTGTCTCTCCTGCGGACTCTTCTTGGGCCACTTGCAATCTCTCCCCCCTCTCCCCCTCCTGCTCTCCACCACCCATCTCACCACAGGCCACAGCACTGGGCTCTGCCCTCCTCCACCCACCACTTCCCCAGTGGTCTTTGCCAGATGTCCCCTCCCCTGGCAAAGGCCCTTGTGCCCAGACCTCAGACTCCAGGATCCACCCCCAGGCACTGCTCAGCTTGGTGGGAGTGGGGCCTAGGACAGGAAAAGAAGGCAGCTGGCCAGGGCCTGAGTCAGGAAGGGCTGGAACTGGCCAAGCAGGGTGCAGGCAAGGAGCCCCGCATTCGAGTGGAAGGGAATGACTACCCCCATTGCTAACCTCTCCCTGGTTGGCTTCGGAACCTTACCCATCCTACTGCTGTGTCCTGGAGCAAGGGTGGGGACTCTGAAGGGACCTGGCGAGGGCACTGACTTCCATTTTGTGGGTGCCTAAGGAGGAGCACCGAGCTGCCAGGGATAAAAATAATTTTAAATTGGAGTCCTATAGAGTACTAGGCTGCTATAAAAAAGAATGGACGGGCTCTAAATGTACTTGGTGGAATCTGGAATCCTGTAGGTGTATTAAGAGAAAAAAGCAAGGTGCAGAACAGCGTGCAGTGTGTTACCAACTAAGAAGAACGAACATACCCAGAGCCTGGCCCCTTCTCCGCACTGCTATGCTGTGAGCCTGGTCCACACGCCAGCATGTCTGGTCCACCTTGTGCCTATCCTGATAGGTCGCTCATGTTCCACCCTCATTCTAAAGTCTGTTCTCAACAGAGCAGCCAGTGTGAGGCTTTCAAGCAAAAAACCATTTCATGCTCAGTGTCCTGCAATAGTTCTTCATTCTATTTAGCATAAAAGTTCAAGTTCTTACCTACCTGGGCCCTCCATGATCTGCCCCCCACCCCACCCCCAGCTCACCTGTTTTGTTTTTTTCTATACTACCTATAACCTAATAACATCTGTATACTTTTAAAAAAATGTTTATAGTTTATCTCCTGTCTCCACCCTCTATAATGTAAGCTTCACAAGTACAGGAATCTCTTTGGTTCACGACTGTATCCAGAGCACCTTCACTGGCATATTGTATCCACTCACTATTTGTTGAATGAATGAATGAATGAATGAAGATGCAGTCTATGTACAGACTATCTCTGGAATGCTAAGAACCTGGTAACCATGGTTACTTATAGGGAAGAAAACTGGGGGGTTGGAGGTAGGTGTGGAGACTTAGTGGTTTTTTTTGGGGTTTTTTTGAGTTGGAGTCTCACTCTGTCTCCCAGATTAGAAGGCAGTGGCCGCTCCCGGCCACTGCAGCCTCGACCTGC